AATAGCTCACCCCTATGGACTTTGTATGTTGTTTTGTAGTTGGTTATAATTACTGCAGTCACATGAATTTTTAAGAGTACAGTATATTTCTCCCCCCCCCCAAAAAAAAAAACAAATATGGAGCCAGATACAGTGGCTCATGCCTTTAATTCCAGAATTCTGGAGTCAGAGACAGGCCTATGTTTGTGAGTTTAACACCAGTCTGGTCGATAAAGCAAGTTCCGGATAAGCCAAAGGTACACAGTGAGGCCCTGTCTCAAAAGAAACATAATAATCTAGAAAGCAAATCTGGTTGCATGTGCCTATAATCCGAAAACTCAAGTGGATAGGTGAAGACTGTGAATCCAAGGCCAACCTGGACAGCATAGAGAATTCTGGGCAAGCAAGAAGTCTCAAAATAAAGAAGCAGCAATAACCAAACTCATCTCAGATGGTGATTTTAGGTAAGTATAACTATAATATAATTCTGGTATTATATTGCATGGGAACAAGTATATCGTGATTTACCTGAAAGAACTTTGCATTTCTTTCTCTGACTGTGTGTGTGTGTGTGTGTGTGTGTGTGTGTGATGTGTGCATGAGTATTTTTGCGTATGTTAGTGCAATATGCATGTACCACAGCAGATGTGTGGAGTCATAGGACAACCTTGGAAGTTGGTCCTCAACATTCACTTTGTTTGAGACAAGGTTTCTTTGTTGTCTGCTGTGTAAGCTAAGCTAGCCCTGAGTCTCTGTGGATTCTCTCGGCTGTGGCTCCCATCTCACTTTAAACAACAGGGCTCTCAGATGGGAACTAGTGCTACCAGCCTTATGTGGGCTCTGAGGCTGGAGCTTGGGTCCTTTAGCTTAGGTAACAAGCACTTGACCTACTGAATCCCCATCTCCCTATCCCTCCCTGGGATTTTGTCCAAGTGAGACTACCACCATATTTCAATGAGTATCGTTGTCAAAGATGCACAGACGCAACTCAAAAAGTTACTGAAGTGAGAAATTTCTCATTAGAAAAATGTTCTTTTATCAGTGTAAGCAAACCTCCTGAGAAAATGCCAGTGTCGATAATCCAGCATTTCTCTGTACCCTCTAAGCTTGGCAGTTACTTTAAAGTTCTTACCTGCTAGGGCTCCCTCATCTTCCCTCCCTGGCAAAAACCAAACCAAACCAAAACAAAAACTACAAAAATGATCATGCAAGAAACCACAAAAGGCTACCTACCTTTTTTTTTTTTAAACAGAAAAGCTAAGACATAGGAAGTTGTCCGCATTTAAAAAACTGCCCCCTAAATATGTAAATTTTCTTTTGGGAGACATCTCCATTCTAGCTTGCAAGATATTTGATAAAAAATTTATTTATGCCATTGTGTGGAATAATTTTTCTCTGTGTTTTTGCAATTATTTATTTTCAATTATTAAAGGCATGCTTTGCCATGCTTGGCCTTGCTTTTGGCTTTTTGAGACATGGCTTAACTCTGTAGTCCAAATTAGCCTTAACTCAATACATAGTCCAGGCCAAACTATCGTTGAATTCAGTATATTCCTCAAGCCTCAGTCTCTTATATCCGTCCTAGGGTTACAGGTGTGAGACACCATGCCTGATTGCCTCATCTATAATGTCATCTTGAAAAAAGTCGTAATTGAGTGGTTTATTATTCATGGACTTCTGAGAGATAATTGTAGGGAAATGACATCAGTGTCATAAACACTGATCCTTCTGGAAGTCACACTTTGGTTTGGTCGTGTCATCAAGTTCTACACACTTCCTACTATAAATACATTAAAAAGTTCTCTGGGGTCATTTCTAACACAGGCTGCAAAGATCCAACACATCTTTAATTCTCTCAATTATCTCCTAAACTTCCATTTTGCTTATTTGTTCTTAGTTCCTAATTACTGATGGGTCTTAACTGGCCTGATTTTTACTGCTTATTGCTCTCACTAGGTGCATGTGGCCACATTCTGTTACTTATTACTCTGGATATTTCTTTACAGTACTTCTTAAACACCTTGGCCTTTCTGCTTTAAATGTGAAGAGTCTGACTGATCTGGAGTTTCCCCAGACCACTCTAACTCACCAGGTACAGCGGCATGCAAGGTTGGACACCTGGCCACAGCTGGCTGATAGGGCAGTGTTTAAAATTCAGAAACTATTTGTTTTTAAATAAGTTTTTTAGTTTAACTTTTATTTCTCCATATGTGTATATTTCTCTCTCTCTCTCTCTCTCTCTCTCTCTCTCTCTCTCTCTCTCTGTGTGTGTGTGTGGGTGTGTGTGTGTGTGTGTGTGTGTGCGTGCGTGCGCGCGCGTGAGCATTGGGGACATACCCACAGAGGCTGGAAGAAAGTCAGAGCCCCAGGAGCTGGATATATATGTGGTTGATGTGGTTGTGAACCATGTAACTTGGGTGCTGAGAATCAAACTTGGGACTTCTGTAGAAGCAGCAAGTGCTCTTAATCACTAAGACATCTCTCCAGCCCCAGGAACTACTTTTGATCCTCTTTTTCTGAGAGTGACAACTCTCAAGACCTGGAAAACTCATTGATAGTCCACTATCCTCATCACTGTCTCACACTTTAGGTCTGACTCTGCAGCCTCCTGAAGGAGGCTAGATAACCCTCTTTGAAAGGTGACTTTGTCAAGGCACTGGACAAGTTCAAAACATACTAAGGTGGGGAGTGTTCCTTTTCAGATTTCTTTCTGAAATTCCCAGGTAGGGGGCCCCAGTCTTAAACTCTTGGCAGTGCTTCAGGGGTACTTGTGGAGCTGTCCTCGGGAGTCACACCTTATTATCAAAGTTATGGTAGCTATTAGCTAAGAATTGGACCTGAGGGCAGGATTACAGAATTTTTCAGAAGGAAGTGTGAAAATTAGAAAGATGGAATTATTTTGTAGAGACGGAGGTGTCAACATGTAACCCATATTAAGCAAGTGTGCCGCATGACAGACTGTCATTCCTCACCCTCGGCAAATGTGGCCCAAATAACAGAGAAACAAGAAACCCCAAATATCACACCAACTGAACTCCTGCACATGCCTTGGGGCTCCGTGCAATTCAGAAAGGAAGGGTCCTTTCTTCCAGGCTCCAGCCAGGTGTCTGACGGAGGCTGGTCTTTAGATTGAGCACTGAAACGTCTTTTCTCTTCAAGGGCAATGACTACATCAAAAAATGCCGGGAACGGATGATATGTGACAGTGTTTTCAAAGAAAGGTCAAATGTCAATGCCAAATATCAGAATAGAAGCATTCCATTTCTCTCAAATATTCCCATCACAACTTCCCTGAATGTGCCCAAATTTACATGACACAATTTTCTAAAAAGATGTTAATTGTACCAGGCACTGTTGGATTTGCAGTAGCTTACACTGGAAATCGGTGAGTATAAAACAGTAAATGGGACCGAGTCTCCTAAACTTAAGCCAGAATGTATTTATTTTATTGTTTCAGACCACTGATGGCTCTAACTGGGAACATGAATGAGAATATTACATATTTGCATCAGGAGGCCCCTATCACTGCCAGTCGGGACACATCTTACCCTGGAGAGTATAACCTTTATTCCAAGATTTTGCTCTAAAGGGTATCTTTAAATGTACATAGCTCCAATCTTTAGGAGAAAATTAAAGAGAATTCCAGTCTGTATTGTCTATCCTTTCTTTCTGCCTCTCTTTTCAGGTTAGCAGTTTATTTCTGCATTAATCACCCTGACAGAAGCAAGGCAACTCAATTTTCTGCTTCTGTAGGTAGGCACATCACTTTCTGTACAGCACTAGGCATGAAAAGGGCTGCAGCTAAGCTTTGGTTACTGGTGTAATTGAAATGCTATCCACACTATAGGGTGCATTAAAGTCAGATAACGACAGTTCCTGTGGCCAATTTAAGTAGCTTGACTTCCCTGGGAAAAAAAAAATTGCCTGACAGATAAGGCAGACAAACTGGCTAATTCTCCAAGCATGTCTCTCATTGTGATCCTAGAAAAATGAGAAAAAAATGAATCACAGAACCACAAAATCAATTGACCCTCGGGTAGCTCATCAGGCAGCGAGCCTGATAAACCTAAAAGCTTTGTTAATGTCTGCCTGCCTGTGTCCCACAGATAGAGCACTTTGTAAATGAACCTGCTTTGATAAATATATTAAGGGAAGCTGTGAATAAAGCCAGAGACTTCTCATTTGTAAATACAACCTCTGCTACATGGAATTAGAATGATAAAGTGGAGTTCCATGTAATTAAGTTTGTATAAGGCCTGAAATCCGTGCAAATACTTCCCCTGAATTTTGAAAGAGAACTGTCAGTTCAATTAATCTGAACATCACCCCAAGAATGTACAGAACAAAATTAAGCCGCTGATAAAACCTGGGCCAGTATTTTGATAAGTAATTCCTATATCATTTCTTGGCCACTGTGATCATTTTATTTAATCCCCTACCCCTCCTTTTTCCTCAGTTACCCTCTAAGCCATGTACAAAGGGTAGATGGCCCATATACCACCATGCAAGTAATATAAATCACAAGCTAAAAATGGAGAAAAACCTTCTCTTCTATTTAAAAAAATAGGGTAAATAAATACCCATGGGGAGATAAAAACAAAACAAAACAAAACAAAACAAAACCCCAAAACCTTGTGTCTACATTGTTCCTCAGAGTCCAGACAAAAGAAACCTGCGTGTGAGCCTTGTGCAAAAACACACAGATAACAATATCTAACAGGAATGAACCATACAGAATTTGTGATTCAGCTGGAGAATTTTAAAGCATCAGAGATGAGAAAAGTCAGAGTAGGGGAGAAGAAAAAGAAAGAAAGAGCCAGAAAGAAGAAGAAAAATCCCCCAAACACCATTTGCCTAGGCTACCTGTCCATCACCCTAGGCATACATTTCACACCTCAGGGAAGAAATGTAGACTTTATGTTTTTTTCTCTTTGTTCCAGGAACAAAACCAAGAAATAAAAGAAAACAATTATCTAGAAACCCCACTCTAGTCAAGGGAGGAAGATCTTGGGGTCACTCACCAGTTGTTTACTTGGAGAATTGTCAGTCCTGTGTCTTGCGCTAACTGTTTCTTCTGCTCTTCGGAAGGGTATGGATGCTGATGAAAAGACAAATGTTTTAAAAGATGCATCAGAAGTTGGGAAAGAGGCACACACGTCTAAGCATGAAACCACCCTTGGTGCATTCTTTATTCTATGGCTTGATTCTCCTCATCACATGGAAAAATATATTTAACTTGCTGACAAGTGTGGACTGGAGCCAGTGGTGGCAACCCTAACTTCCTGTCATACTTCGTAGGACCAGCAACGAAAGTCCAGGTATCTAGGAGGAAAGTATCTTTGAATGGCATCAGAATTCTGGGTGTCTCTATTCCTGTCTGTTGTATGTAGGGGATTGGTAGACCTATTTCCTATGCTCACTAGTGAGTTGTGTGGAATTCATACTCTATGCTACCTTTGAAAGACTGGTCTATATAACTATTATTTCTTAGTTGATATGAGGCGAACTACATTTGGCCCATGGGCCAATATGTAATCACAACTATTTGGGAAGCCAAGGCAAATGATTGGATGCAGAGTCCTTTGTGAGGATGGGGTTGGCATTCTTTCATTTTTACTGGTTAGTGCTCTGGGCTATCAAGGTCACACACAATGATTTACCTAGGCTACCTGTCCCTTACCCTAGGCATAAATTTCACACCTCAGGGAAGGAATCAGTTATATGCCATGCTTCCTGTGGAATTTTCCCATGTTAACATCAAGTACAGCAACAAGAAAACAAAGTCATAGGTTTCAGTTTTGAATTCTTTCCTTCCTTCACAGTTTACTAACACTGATAATGACCAGCCCTCCCATTATCCCCCTCTCCCTTTTCCTCTCTCATCTCGAAATGCAGGATTGCTATTTTACAATCATACATTTCCTTCAAGAAGTTCTGTGCTGGAGGGCACATAATTATGAAACACATCTGTTACATAAGGTCCTGTTCAAAGTTCCCTGGTTTTCTTAAACACAAAGGTAAACATTTATCCCCTGTCATAGTTGTTCATAGACTAGAAAGCCTTGAGTTGAAATCTCATCAACATCACTGAAGGGGCGGGAGAGGTGGCTCAGTGCTAAGGAGCCTCCTACTTCTTTTGCAGAGGACCCAAGTTCAGTTCCCAGAACCCATGTTGGGCAGCTCTCAGCTGTCCATAATCCCAGCTCCAGGGGATCTGGGTCCTCTGGGCTGCAATGGCACCTTCACTCACAGGCACACTTTGTCCCTTCAATATACACAACTAAGAGTAGTGCAAATAAGTCTTTAAAGTATTCTGATCATCCCAGCATTTGAGGGAGAGGGTGTTTTTCAGTCATCAAACTATTCACTTCTTAGGTATTTCATCTTCTATAATAGCATACGTTCTTCAAAATGTGCATGACTGTTTATTCAAGAATGCACATGCCATCAGGTTCAACAAAATCCCCTGTATAGCAAAAGGGTTAACTAGATCTGTATTACTATAGAATCCAGGCTTTTAATATTCTGCAAATGTTAACAAAGAAAGATGATAATGTTGAGTTAATATGGGTTAAGCATAAAATGAAAATAAATTTTTCTGATTGCGAGGTGTTGACACTTTTTTGGCTAGGGCCTGCAGCCTGTTCCTTAAAGCTGTGTAATTGCAGAAGGCTTTGCCCCTCCTTCCCCCTCCTGCTAGAGCCTCCCTACATTAGTAATGACCCCTTCACTGCTTCAAAAACCACTAATGGTCTTCAGCACAGGCAAGAAAAATGAACAGGGTAAATTGGAATCCACAGTCAGTAATTTGCATCCTATGAGGCTGCTTCGGCCACTCACACTCATTCCTGGCCATCAATCGCTGCTGTCAGGTACTGCACTCTGCCTCTGTGACAAATACTCCTCCTAACACTCCGATTCGTCCAAACAATGTAATTGTCCTCTATTCTCCTTTTGGTAATGGAGAAAATGAATGACTCACAAACAAGGGGTTGTTCATCACAGATGCGGAGGTGCCTTCAAACTGGAGGAGGCCTAGAGTACAAATTTTAATTGACTGAAAACACTGGTTGTGGAGCAAATGACAGTTTTTTTTTTTTTTTTAAAGCCTTCTTGTCAAGGTATTTCCTGGCCAAATTCAAGGTAGTGGTCCCCTTTTGAGTTTCTGACATGATGATGTTTGAAAGTCTAGGTTTATAGGTTGTCAGCCCAGAGGGAGAAATTGTGCAAATACCAAGAATCAAAATGAAAATAAAGAGGCATTCCCCTATATGTATAGAAAGGGGCTGGAAATATAACATGCCTCAGTGTGCTGCTTTTTTATTCTCTCTCTCTCTTTCTCTCTCTCTTTCTCTCTCTCTCTCTCTCTCTCTCTCTCTCTCTCTCTCTCTCTCTCTCTCTCCCTTTCTACCCTTGTCATGTGCTGTGTGTGCTGCTTTTTGCACTCGCCCAAAATAGTTCTGACAAGTGTGAGGGGTGTGTGTGTGTGTGTGTGTGTGTGTGTGTGTGGGTGTGTGTGTGTG